CTACTGATCATCTGCATTTCTAGAAAGAGCTGCAATGTTGTGTACCTTCTGTGAAACTCTAATATGCTTGCTAGGAGGGAACTTCATTGACATTATCAAGATTCTTTAATCTAAAACATAACATATGCTCAATTGATTAAATTTATTCTAAATCTATAAAATATATATACTCTATTCTTATTTAACTTCTATATACCCTTCCAGTATGTAGTAACTGACCAGTACACTAAGAGTACTTCCAGTAACTTACCATTATACTAAGAAGGAGACAGGGATTAAAAAACAAACAAACATTAAAGGAGAAAATGCCCAGTAATTCATGGAAGGAAATAAAGAAGGATTTGGGAAGAATAACAGGGCATTCAGATGTTTGTAAACCAAGGCACACAGCAGAGGTAGTAGTCAATGAGAATTTAAGTTTATATCATAATAAGATTAACATTATTCCAAGATTTGGAAGAATATGTTCCGTGATAGGAATACAGCAATGGAAGGAAACCACCTTGTTCAAAAGAAATAGATCTAATAGCAGTAAGGGGGGAAAGAAATCAGAGAAAGGTATACCACCAGAAGAGATATCTGCAAACCTGAAGCTCACAACTTTTTGCCAGCCCTCTGGGCAAGGATTTAAAAAAAAAAAAGAAAAGAAAAGTTGTAGTGATATTGTTGGAGAAGGATATGGTGGGCCATCCACTTGACCACTTCCCTTTGGCTTCTGATACTTTTCTTTCCTTCTAGCTGGTCTACCTTATGTCTTCCCTGACATACACTCTTTCTCTGCCATTCCTTAATACTGGTGTTAAGCCAGACTTCTAAGCTCTGCTCTCTATCTGTGAATTTCCTCATTAATTGTATTTATTTATATGTCTCTTATTTCCTCCTGATTCCTAAAGCTATAACTGCCACCCTGATATCTCTTCTAAACCTCTGCTTCCACCTACTCAGTAACTCATAGACATTTCAAACACAACATGTCCAAATTGGAACTAGATATCATCCCCATAAAATGTGACCCTTTTCTTCCTACAGCCCTCATCTTAGTTATTTTATTAGCATTGCTATCAACTTGGTTAGAAGCCCCTCTCCTAATGCTTCTGTCTACCTCATAATTTCTTTCAATTCCAGCTCTAAAATGTCTTTCCCAGATCAATGTTTTCTTCAGTACAATCACTTAGCTTTGCCCCACCATCCCAGGACTATCCTCTTGTGATAGCCTTCTGACCAATTTATTCACCTCCAGTCTCCACTTGCCATCCTGACCTCCTGCCTTTCTGATCTATCTTCCCCCACCACTAATCTTGGCCTTGAGACAATATAGTTCAAAGTCTTAGCTACAGTGTGGGTGATCACACCTTGGAAGTATCAAAGAAGACATTCACATACTGGATAAGAAGTCAGTCTGATAGTCTAACATTGGGCTGCCAACCAAGGATCAGTTGTATAGTCATTAAGCTTACTTATTCAAAATAAGATTCCTTTGTCCTGATTCAAAATGCACTGATTCAAAATCTCCTGAGTTAGACCCTTGGATTGTATTTTTGTAGATGCCACAAGTGATTGCGATGCACATCCGTTTTTGGAAACTCTAAGAATTTAATCAATTATAAGATTCAGTGATTATAACACTCTAATCAGAATCCAATTTGTTATTCCAAGAGAATAGTTACAAAAGTATTTTCTGCAATGGCAGCATCATTAAACTAAACATAAAGCCTTTTGAGTGGTTCACATTAAATGAAAAAACATACATTTGAATGTATAAGTTCTGGCAAATTTGTGACAATAATCACATCACATTAGAGGCATGCCTCATGCACATTTCTTCCAACAAATATATGTAATGGCGTTTTCTTTAGTTTCACACATGATGTTAATGGGTTACGTAGAAAGAGTTCAAGAATATATTTGATGTAAAAATAGTGGTGAGTGCAGTCATATGCAAAACATTTAGGATTAGGGTGTTAATTACACCTGGATAAAAGCAATTAAAATTTAGCAGAACAGCAGAGAAAAAGGAGTAAAACAAAAGCCTTTAAAGTAAACATTTATACATTTTTTTCAGCTGATTCTTTTTAGCTAATGAAAGGATTCCCACTTCACGCACCACATAACCTGTTTCCTATGTCAGTAAGTTACTGTGGGTATTAGCAGCTCATGACTTACGAGGGGAAACAGTCTCCATTAGAATTAACTACAGTAGATAATAAATTTCATTGTCACATCACTGTTCTAAATAATTATGGAAGAATAGAGATAGGAATGATTGATTAATCCCTATTTTCCTATTGTAAAATAGTCTCTACAAGGAGCAAATCTATAAATATGAAGCTAAACCCCATGGTATACTAAAATTTCAGAGTCTGAATTCCAACATATAAGCCTCATATGTGAACACTGTTGCCTAAAAATAAGGATACAGCTATCTTCATTAGCAATGAGATATGTGTTTATTTATAATTAATAACATTATATAAAATAACAGTCTCATATTTAATCTGGGTGATCCATATTTTTTAAGTTAAAAGCACCTTGTTTCAATATTAAATACACAAGGGTTTTGTTTATTTATTTTTGTTTTGTTTTGTTTTGTTTTAGAGAGAGAGAGAGTGAGCAGGGGAAAGGGGCAGAGAGAGAGGGGGAGAGAGAAAATCTTAAGCAGTCTCCATGCCTAGCTTGAAGCCCAATGCAGAGCCAATCTCATGACCTTGAGATCATGACCTGAGCCGAAATCAAGAGTCAGATGCTTAACCAACTTGGCCACCCAGGGGCCTCTAAACACACAGATTTTTAAAATAAGACTGCATTTTCCCATAGAAACAACTCTGTAAAGTGTGCTGAAGATCCTAGGCTAACTCACAAATCCCATTAAACCCATAATGAATTTAACAATAAACTAATGGAACTAATTGAAGTCTGAGATCTTGAACAAAGAGACTGGCAGGCAGAAATAAGGGACAGAGAATATTTCCTTTCCTTTTTACAAAAGCTGCCCTTAGACATATTTTGAAAGAACCACATGCTTCTTTGCTATCATTACTTATTGTTGTCTCCCTTACCTCCAAGTAACTTTGGTATTCAAAGCCTCTTAACTCCAACACCCTTGATTGTGGAATATGGGAATTTAATAGGAAAATCTTATACCTGTATCAGTTAGGATTTGGTTTGGCTACATATATCGGGGTGGGGGGAAGTAGCTTAAACAAGGCAAATATGATGTCCATAGTCTAGAGCTAGTCAGTGATTCCATGGTAAACAGGGATTCTCTTCCAAAACTCAGAACACATTTTCTGTCCTTAATGTTACCTTATATTCCAAGATAACTGCTGGAGCTCTAGCCACCATCTTTATATTCCAGGCAGGAGAAGGAGAAAGCCAAGAAGGGCAAAAAGTGTATTCTCCAATATGAGTCATTTTTCTATAAGGAGTTCCCTGCTTACATCTTTCTGGCTAAAACCTAGTCACATAGCACCTCTGACTGCAAAGGTTGCTGGAAAATGTAGTGTAGCTGCACCCTTTACCAGCCCCAAATGAAATTAGAGATCTGTTGCTGAGAATAAAGGGGAGAATGGATATTTGTAAGCAATTAGTTATCTCTGCCTTGTTCCTCAAATATCCAATGCTCCAGATTGTTTAACTCCTTTCCTGCTCACTCAATACAGTTTCTTTATTTCTATGTTTCTGTTAAATGTAACAAATGCTACTTTACACACACACACACTCACACACACACATACACACGACCCTTCTAGAGTAGTGGTTCTCAACTTTGGCTGCATGTTTAGAATCACTTGGAGTGTCTGTTGAAAATCCTGATGTCCAGACCAGTTAAATCAGAAACTCTGACAGTGAGACCCAGGACACAGTATTTTTTTAAACGTCTCTGGGTGATTCCAGTGTGCAGCCAAGTTTGAGAATCACTATCATAAAGAAATGTGAAAAGAAGGTACATAAACCAAATGATGCCAAGTTTTGTCATTTTCTTCTGATGTGTAATGAAGTGATATAAAAACCTGCAAGTCATGAGTCAAGAATAATTTTTGGAGTGTTGGCCACTTCCCACACAGACCAATTGTTTGCCTTTGGGGTCACTTTTCCTCTGCTGCCCCTCCTTTTTTTTATAAAGTATCTTCTCTTCTGTAACATTGGAACCATACAATTCTCTGAAAATCCTAACCTTTCTATACAGTGGATTCAAGGACAGCATAGATGGATCCAATGTTGGTCATCCTTGATGTCTTCACCTCTCAAGGAGCCCCACACCCACTTAAACTCTTTATATTGCTTCAAATAATATTCAAATCTGTCCACACCTTTATCTCATCCCAGATCCACACAGCAACCAAAAGAATGTTTAAAATAGGTCTGACCATGTCTTTCCTCTCCTGTATATAGATCCCTCCAATGATTTCCTATTGGTCTAGGCCTCTCTGTCCTGCAAGATCCCATCCTGCCTACCTCCCAGCCTTATCTAGGCCTCTCATCCCACCTGTACGGTGGCCTCCTTTCATGCCTCCAGTGCCCCCTAGCTCTTTCCTTACAATTAATCTCCATGTGCTGAACCTAATGGATGCCCAAACTCATCAAACCAACACTTCCATTTGCTCAATCCTGTTGAAGGAGGCTTTGATTGCTCCCACAGACTACATTAGGAACCATGCTGTCCTTCTTAATGGCCCTTATCACAGCTGTAAGTAATTATTTAGAAGCACTCCCTCCCCAGTTATTTCTTAGGAGAGCAGGGAGCAAGGTCTTCACCATTTTGTTTTCAGAACCTAGTACAGCTCCTATCGCAGGGTATGTGATATTATAAAAATATATATATTATGAATGAATATATGAAGAACAGAGTAGCACAGGATACCGAGATTAGAAAGGTAGACTGGAGTCAAAGTGAAAGGGTCATAAGCAGCTGCTTGTAACTTAGGCACTTAACTTAGGTGGACCCAAGTAAATGTTCCTTCCCTTTTTTTTTTTTTTGATATGTGTCTGTGTCTCTGCAGGTTGTGACTTGATCCCAGTGCAGTATCTCCGCTGGGGTGACCCTGAGCCCATTGCAGCTGTGGTGTTTGCCTGCCTCGGCCTGCTGGCCACCCTGTTTGTCACTGCAGTCTTCATCATTTACCGTGATACACCAGTAGTCAAGTCCTCCAGCAGGGAACTCTGCTATATCATTCTTGCTGGCATCTGCCTGGGTTACTTATGTACCTTCTGCCTCATTGCAAAGCCCAAACAGATTTATTGCTACCTTCAGAGAATTGGTATTGGTCTTTCCCCAGCCATGAGCTACTCAGCCCTCGTGACCAAGACCAATCGTATTGCAAGGATCCTGGCCGGCAGCAAGAAGAAGATCTGTACCAAAAAGCCCAGATTCATGAGTGCCTGTGCCCAGCTGGTGATTGCTTTCATTCTTATATGCATTCAGTTGGGCATCATCGTTGCCCTCTTTATAATGGAGCCTCCTGATATAATGCACGACTACCCAAGCATTCGAGAAGTCTACCTGATCTGTAATACCACCAACCTAGGTGTTGTCACTCCTCTTGGATACAATGGCTTGCTGATTTTGAGCTGTACCTTCTATGCTTTCAAGACCAGAAATGTTCCAGCTAACTTCAACGAAGCCAAGTATATTGCCTTCACAATGTACACCACCTGCATTATATGGCTGGCCTTTGTGCCAATCTACTTTGGCAGCAACTACAAAATCATCACCATGTGTTTCTCAGTCAGTCTCAGTGCCACAGTGGCACTGGGCTGCATGTTTGTGCCGAAGGTGTACATCATCCTGGCCAAACCAGAGAGAAATGTGCGCAGCGCCTTCACCACATCTACCGTGGTGCGCATGCATGTGGGGGATGGCAAGTCATCCTCAGCAACGAGCAGATCCAGCAGCCTGGTCAACCTGTGGAAGAGGAGGGGCTCCTCTGGGGAAACCCTAAGGTAAAAGTTGTGGGGGGGTGTTGTGGAGCACTGGCCCCTATAGCTGAAGCAATGGTGTTTGCTTCCTGGGTCTTTTAAATGGGAAATATGTGAGTGAATTAAACTCTGGGAGGCAGGGTGTGGGGAAAGGGGCCTTGGGTATTCTCATCGAATGGGTTTTGTGGGGTTAATTGGATGTGGCCCCAGTTACTTATGCCAAAGCCAGAGACAGAGAAGTTGGGATTAAAAAAAAAAAGCAGAGTTTCAGCAGAAAGGAAATGAGGTCCAAAAGGGCAGGGAGAGCACAGTTAAGTCATTAAGCCAAGGCAAGGACCTCCAGGTCCTGAGGGGACAGAAATACGTTGTGGACCAAATTCTAATTCGCCAGAACAGAGTAGAGAAGGTTATTGTTAACACAGAAGATTATGCTGAGCACAGAGTGCCACAAGCCTTATGTATCTGGCTGTGCTGTGTGCCTGAACTTTTCCAAGTCCGGAAGAGCCCTTTGACTGCCCATCCCATAGAGATATGCGAATGTAGATTCCATGTTTTAGTTCCTAGTGGGCAACCTGAACTCTTTGGGAAATGTCTAAGTATCCGAACGAGGCAAAAGTGACCTTGCATATAATTTTCCACAACCACTAGCCAGTTTCCTGTTTTCTCTGTTGCCCACAGTCCCATCCCTCCCTTCAAGTTTAGTATCTCAGGTGGTACTTACGGGTCAAGTCCCATCTGAAAAGAATCTGGAGCCATCAACCAATGATTCCCCCACCATGAGGGACTTTTATGCGGTAAATACCTCCTAAGGCATTTCAGAAGGCAATGAGATCATTTTTTTTTTTTTTTTTAGCGAATTGAGATCTGTATCTTTAATAAACATCTAGAGAATACTGGTAGCATAGATTGCTATATTCCATGCTATCCCAGAGACCTATGGTTCCTTTAAAATCTGTTTAAATATGACAAACTTTAAGAACTTGAAGTATAACCTATCATCCCAAATAGCTGCTCAGACTTATGCTAGTGGTAAGTCTGGCTAGTAACCACTTTCTCCTTCCCTGCTTCTAGGGGGAAGAGAAGACTGTGGCCTCTGTGAGGAGCAGATGTGAAATTAGTGCAACTAATAACTTCCCATGGGGGAAATGAGATCATCTTATTGGTGGCTTGGGAACAAATTTGGAGGTATTAAAAAGGCTACATAGATTGTTCCTGGGAATAAGGACTCCCTCCATTTAAGAAGTACCTATCAGAAGAGCTAGTCAGAATATCATCTGCTTACTCTACAGGGATTTTATAATTTTCATAAAGCCTGATAAATAAATGAAAGATAAACATCTTTCAAATGGAAGATAAATAGCTAAATATTATTGCTTGAACAATTCTCTTATGCCATAATTTAGCCTACATGGAAAGTCCCACCTTTCTATCAGCCCTAATTCTTCAAATCCTGAATAATAGTGATGGTAAAGATACTGTTTCTTCTGAGGATTGAAAAGCACTCATAAGGTACTTAATCACATAGCTTAATTCATTTGTGTTATTAACTTGTATCCTTGCCTCTTTTAATTTTTTTTCTAATTCCTGTATGCCTCTCATCTCTTTCCATGTACACTGAGCAAGGTATTTAACTAAATTGTAAATCTTGGGGCAAATAACTGTGTCTTCTATTTCTTCAATAAATCATGGCAATGTCATGGTCTATCCACAGAAGGCCTTTCATCTCTCTAAACTGCCAGAATATTTTCCATATGCTTTCCTGACTCCTCTCTAGAATATTTTTTTCCTGAAACTTCTGCAAGATCAGCCTTTTATTTTGTCTAAGAAGATTTATTTTCCAGACTTCTCTTTTACCAAACTCTCTCTTCAAATAAAACCTTCCAAGGCATCCTGATAGGTAATACAAACAGGCTGTGAGAGGGGTGGAATTGTGAGCCTGTGCTGAAGCACCCCAAACACTCCCTTCGGACAGGCTCCTTAGACAGTGTGGAGCAATGGGGAAAAGCACTGACTTTGTGGCCAGCTTCTCCTGAGTCTGAACTGTGGTGCTGCCATTCTTCTCTCTGAGCCTGAGTTTCTTCATCTGACAAACTGAGATCATATCATCTGCCTCAGAGCACTGTAAACAGTGAAAGAAACAATATATGCATAAAGGCCAGGTACACAGTAGATACTTTACTGAACGTGTCAGAGTACAGAGTCAGGCAGCTCTGGGATTGAATATTGGCAGCATCACCTACCAGCGGTGGAACCATAGGCCCATCGCTTAACCTCTCTATACCTTGCTTTCCTCCTCTGATGAATGGACATAATGAAACACAGCCTTCATACAGGGTTGTAAGACTAAATGAGTAAACACACGTAAAGTATTTTTTTTATTATGTTAGTCACCATATAGTACATCATTATTTTTGATGTAGTGTTCCATGATTCATTGTTTGTGTATAACACCCAGTGCTCCATGCAATATGTGCCCTCCTTAATACCCATCACTGGGCTAACCCATCACCACACACCCCTCATCTCTGAAACCCTCGGTTTGTTTCTCGGAGTCCATAGTCTCTCATGGTTCATCTACCATGAGAGAATACATGTAAAAGTATATGCCATGCAATAATAAGCACTTCATAAGTGTGTGTTTGCTGTTATTTTTAACTACGTTGACAATTGTCAGTCTTCTTCCACCCTTGAAAGTCTCTGTGTCAGGAATGCAACCAGGATGATCCTAATAACAGAGAGAGCATCATAAAACGCAGTATAGGTCTACAGACACATTGATTACACAGCCTGACCTTTCCAGAGCATCTCCATTTGGACATGGTCTAGTTCCTTGCCAGATTGTACAACACACCCTTTGTCCTAATTTAAGCAAGGTGAGCTCCTTAGGAGTGGGAGCCTTGTCTCCCTTGTCATCACTGTGCCTCCAGTGTCTGGAAGTACCAAGAAGGGCGCTTGATGCATAGAAGACAAGATAATCTTTGGTATATTTATTGAGCAAATAAATTTGGGAAGGTAGGAATGTGGGGGGTATATCTTGCTTGTGTTCAGATGTGCATACTACTATCCCCTAGTGGTTCTACTAACTTTCATAACATGAACCCTACTGTGATCTCTATTACAAGTATCACCTGCACTCCCATGGTCCTCAGTTTCTGCTCAAGAATCAGGTCATCAATCCCATTCATTGATCTCATGTTTTTCTATAATTCTAACATACCTCTAGTAACATTAGGTTATTATTTTCAACTATTTCCTCTCTACTTTAGTAAATAAGGGGCAACATAAATAACAAAATTTACTGATAGTGCCAATAGGAAACAGAAATTCTCAGGATTCTTGGCAATATTTTAACTTGTTTTCCCTACAGAGCCACATAGTCCTTGATGAATGGATTTTGCAGTCAGTACGTTTGGTTATTAGAATATCAAAGGTAATGAGGAGGGACCTTTGGCACTTGTTGAGTTTCCTGTACTTAGCTCTGGCAAATACTGGTCTATTATGGCTGAGACAGGCTATATAGTCTGATTATATAGTGACTTCTTTTTTGCTGGAACCTACTTTTGATATGGAGAAGAAAGACCAGAAAAAGCTATAATACCCTTGCTTCACATACATCCCCTACCAGCCACCCTCTTTTAGCTATAATCCTACAAAATAATTTAGATACAAACTAAAATTATTTTCCTCTAGATCTCCCATGAGCTCTCACACTAGGTATTTCTTTTCTGTGATCCAACATCAAGATGTTCAGAATGTTAATATGGTATTTATCACATTGTAAGATATAACTGGTTATATATGGATTTATCTTCCCTTTTAGTTTATAAAGTCCAGTGTGTATCCCATTATCTATCTCTAGGACTTAAATAATGGGGAAAGAAGTGAACTTGGATGCTTCTAATACTTTCACATTTTATTCTAAATTACCTTCATTAGTTGGGCTTCTCAGGCTTGAATTCTGTAATATGCCAATGAGCCCATCTATTGGGATTTACAGGGAGCTTAAATAGTTAACTTAGATCTCTGACTGTAGGTCTTTGGAGAGAAGCAGCTGCTATGCTAGGCCCAGCCTGGTTCTGCTTTCTTCCATCTGTTACATGGAGAGGCAAGCTACTATAAACCCAGACTGGGTCTGGGCCCTGTTTGAAGAGGCATCTCATGGCAGACAGCTAGGGCTTCATTTTAAAGATGACATGAATTGCATACATTAGAATGAAAGTAATACCTCTTGAGGTTATAGTGACTGTGTTTCCAAAAGTTAGGACACACTCTTGGAGCAGTGGATGTAGAGACAGTAGATGCAAATATAGCAAACTAGTGTATAGTTCTGGCTCTGGAGCCACACCTGGATTCAAATCTAGCAGTGTGAATTTGAACAAGGTACACCAGTCCTTTTCCTCAACTGTAAAATGGTAGATAATGATCCCTGTTGTGAGAGTAAATGAAGTGATATGTGTTAAATGCTTAGTATTAGCACACAGAAAGCACTCAATAAATGGTAGGTAAATCTTTAGAAATGTGTTCAGCCGCAAGTAAGAGAAAGCCTGATTTTCAGAGACTTTTATGATTTGTATGGGTTTCACTTCCCTCATGTTACAAGAAATACGTAGACAGACAGCTCCTCGTGGTCTTCCAACGCTCAGTGGTTCCAGAGCCAACATCTCCACTGTTCTCTGGGCCTTTTGTTTTTTAAGATTTTATTTATTTATTTGAGAGAAAGAGAGCATGAGGGAGAGAGAGAGAGAGCGCACAAGCCAGGGGGAAAGGCCGAGAGAGAGAGAAGCTGAGCAGGGAGTCTGATGTGGGGCTCAATCCCAGGACCCTGGGATCATGACCTGAGTGGAAGGCAGATGCTTAACCAACTGAGTCACCCCGGTGTCCTCTCTGGGCCTTTTTACCAATGGTTGCTCAATGGCTTCATGTGTTGCATCCTTTCATTAGGGAAAACAATTGTCTTCTCAGGATCCCATAACTGCCTTTCTGTCACATTGACCAAAACTGTCTCCTGCAGATACCCCTAGCTG